GGACCCTCCATGCCCCTGGTTCAGGGCACCCTGTCTGGAAGCCACATCGCACCCAAGAGGGTCCAAAGCTGGGTGCGGGGTGCAGCGTGTGGGGCGCAGTGTGCAAGGCCGGGTGCTGGAAAGCCAGGAGGCCCCGTGGGACCTGTGGGGCTGGAAGAAGCAAACTCGTGTGCTGGGCTGGGCTGCTCGGAGCAGGTGGGGAGCGCAGCCTCTGCCTCGGCCAGGCCAGGCCAGGCTCCAGCAAACCCACCATGCGGCCCACCCCGAGCCCAGCTGGCGGGGTCGCGCTCAGGCCGTGACGGGCAGGCAGCTCGGCAAAGACCTGGGAGCCAGTGGAGTGCAAGGCTGCGGTTCCCACGGGTCCCCAAGCAGAGTCTGCCCTGTGCCCAGTGCCTGGGACCCGGCCCCAAGCCCTGCGGTGGAGCAAACGGGACCGGGCTGCTGGCACCAGGCTGCTGGCTGGTGGCAGGGTGGCTGCTGGCATCCTTGAAGCCAGCAGCTTTGTTGGGGACCCTACTGGGCCTCCTCCTTTGTGGAGCCTGATTAATTATTCAAGGAAATATTCCCCGGCTGAATTATAGATACACCCCGCGCACTCGCCAACCGCTGCACCTGGACGACCGCACTTGGTTGCTCTTTACTCTTTTTAAATAACAGGAAGTAAAAGAAAGTTCCAATTGCAAAGAAAAAAGAGCAAGGACCAAAAAGAAGCCTGGCGCGGGGCCTAGAATGCCTAACTGTCTAGCGAGTGTGCCCCGAGGTTTCTGCGGAAACCCTTTCACCTGTGGCCTCTGGCTTCAACACTGCCGGGAGGCCAGGAGAGAAGGAACCTACAGGTCTCTCCAGAGACGCTCCTGGCTTCTGTCCACTGGTTACAGCTCTTTCCAGAAGGGCTGCGTGCACCCGCGGGAAACCGCCCCGGACCTCAGGGAAGGCTCTTGCTCAGGGCCAGCCTCTCCAAAGGCTGAGGGAAGGCGGAGATGAGCACACAGGATCTGGGGAACTGTTTCCCAAAAGCA